CAGTATTTAATGCAAAACGTATTGCAGGTAGCGCGGATGGCCACTGTCCATGTTCTTTCTCGACTAGAATGGCGAGTTTTATTTTTAACTCGCGATTCTTCCTCTCGACGGGGTTCGCCTCTGGATGATAAAACGGGATGAGATTCTGCTTCACTCCTAGAACAAACATAGTCTGTTGCATAACGTCTGCAACGAACTGGACACCATTATCTGAAACAACCCGACGAGGCACACCATAACGTAAGAAGATTTCCTCAACAAATATTTTGGCACAAGCTTCGGATGTCGCTTCTACGAGTGGGAATATTTCCACCCACTTACTGGCCGTATCTTCAATGATAAGGATCCACCTCTCACCATTAGGTCCTTTTGTTAGTGGTCCGAAAAGATCGACGGCTATGATTTCAAATCTTTGTGCAGGTACGGGCGTTTGAATAAGTCCGGCTGGTTTACAGTTGGAGGGCTTATACCTTTGGCATTTAATGCAAGTTTTTAAATAATCTTTCACAAACCGTCTCATTCCAGGGAAATAAAATCTTTGCGAAATGCGTTACATCGTCGAATTACTCCACCGTGACCTGCAGCAAGTTTATACTCTTTCATAACCTGTTCTCGAACTTTTCAGGTATAACAAGCTGTGTTCTTCTGTTGAAGTAAAATAACGGTAAAGTATTCCTTTTGACATATGATACACAACTTTAGCATCTTTTAATCGATATTAAACTTTTCCTTCCAGGTCCAAGACTATCTTCGCCACTATCAATCAGCAAGTTGGTCGTCACGCGTAGCAGCATCCCAGTCAATTTCCACTACAACGGTACACACTTCACAGATGTCAAAAATCATCACATGGCGCGATAATTTAAACCTTGATTAATCTACTAAATTTGCAGTTTTAACATTGTCTACCCATTAACATTGTCTCTCGAGACAGCCATTTATATTCGCTAGCGACGTGCACCGGATGTCCATCAATATAACACAAACTTATTACTACAAACAACAGCGAGTGCCTATCGCTCGGTTGTCGAGTAGTCTCGTTCGGCGTGAGTTAGAAGACGTTTTATATTCTTTAGACGCTCTTCGTGTTGACATCTATAGAACACAAGGCAAATTGCTCATCGGTCCTGAGAACAAAAGGAAGACTGACGACAGTCGGAGCGGACGTAAGTCGGTAAAGGAGGTACAGCAATAGGCAATGCTCACCAGTCTCTATTATATTCAGCACAAGAGAGTAAAGATGTCTTCATATTCTTACAGTAGCTCACTGAGTCTAATCTTCTCTGGTGGAGATAGCATGGAACCTCATCTGGTACCAAAACATTTGTGGCTGCACATTAAACGTCACTTTTTTTCTTAAAACACAAGGGGTGAATGACCTCGGGGCGATCATGTGAACCAGATTTCACGACAAGTTAAGGACTATACAAAAAAATTAATGCCTAACAATGTTTCATTATTACTCGCGTCGGGGAAAATAGCAAAAGTGGTAGGTATTAGGCGCGAAGTCGAACATTTATCTACGAGCTTTACATTTACATCGGCGAATTAAACCATCAGCAACTTGCTGATGGTTTAATTCTGTCTGATAACGTCAACAAATCCTCTCGAAAGGGATGCGCGCTGTTGAAGTAAAAATTAAGAGTGTTACGCAACACAACATTTAGCGCGCGGTATCTATTAAACGCGCCCATATACCTCAATATTTAATAGAATCGCGCGTTGACTGTCATTCCGTAAAACACAACGGTGAAACGCAAAAATCCGCTCGCGATATATTTAAACATTGATTACATAAATTATCAGTTTTAACATTGCTACATTAACATAGTCTCTATATATTATATTCTTCTTACATATAGTAACAATCTCTCAACTTATTACTACAACATTGGGTACTATTATGAAAAGTGTCTCTCAGAGACATTTTATATTCTTTGACCTCTGAGTGTGACATCTATCTAAACACAAATTTTCATTCTTTGACGTCTGACGACAGTCACACGATTTAAAGTTACCTACTAGTGATGTAACGAATATTCGCATTCGCATTCGCATTCGCCAATATTCGCATATTTTTCGATATTCGCATTCGCATTCCTATTCGCAAAAAACGATGCGAATATTTAGCGAATGTATTTAACAAACAAAAAGGAAATTATTATATGTTGCATATGAAATGATAACACAACTGATAAGATTTATATATTTTTATTTAACCATACTTGAATTAAAAAAAAATATTATGGAACAGTGAAGCAACTAAATTAGAAACACGCTCTTTTGTTCTTGTTAGTCTAATTAATATTAACAAAATCACAACTTAACTCCACCACAGAAAAAATAATGAATGTCCATGCCTTACATATATTTTGAAAAAAATCTAATTCTAAATTCAAGTATCTTTTGTGAAAACAGAACTTCAGAGATCCAATCAAATCTAAGTATAATATTAATTTATAACCTTTTTGGCTTTAATTATATATTTTTCCATCCCACTATATATTTTCTAAGAATTAAATATGATAATGAAATATAAACTTAAAAAATCAAATAATGAATACTTGACTATTTGTAAATAAGCTTTTTACAAAAACAAAAAATATTTATTTCTATTTAAAACAAAAGTAAAGTTCTAATATTCATAATGTTAACATTTGGTTTCTGACATTTTTTCACTAATTTTCTTTTAATTAAAAATAATCAAATATAAACTACACAATTATAGTTTTGCTAATAACAAGTTGACACAGTTCACTATTAAAATAATTAAACTCGCTGTAACTTTAAATTCTTAGTAATTAAATTGAAGTAAAGGAATGTTAAATTTTAAAAATAAAAGTTTTGAAGCTCTTTCTCCGTGCAGCCTGTTTCGGTGAGGTGTGTAGAGAAGTCGAGCTCCACTGAAAACTCTTTCACTGGGGACACTTGTGGGTGGAGTTACCAAATATTCTCTGGCTACAGGAGAAAGAATACCATATTTATTGCTATTATTTCCACCAAAGAAGTGGGTCTTCTTCATTTTCAATACGTTTATCCAATACATAATCATTAATATTTTTTTTAATTAAAACTTCTACAGGATTTGGAATTTCATTTTCTAATTCTTCCTCGCTTTCACTTGAGTCCATCATCATTTTCATAGTTTCTTTTAGTGATACAGATTTTTCTGAAAGACTGGCACTGGAGCCAAAGTTTTCCTATATATATATATTTGAATTTGAACATGAAGGAAAGCTGAAGTCCTCATTTCTAATTAAATCCAAAATATTTTTCACGACCTGATCTTTGGTTGAAGGATTTTTGAAAAATTTCGATTTGTACCTAGGATCAATAAAAGTTGCTTAGCAAATAATTTGTCGTTTTATGAGAAAATCTGTGATTCATTTCTTGTTTTAAAACGAGTATAGTTTTTCTAATGTATTCTTCAGATGCCTCATATTCATCAATCACCTTTTCCAGGGTGGCCAATAATCTTCACAGACGATATGGAAACATTGGCTGCACTTTCGTGTTATTTCTGAAAAGGTTTAAGAATGTAATTAATTTTTCCACAACTATCCTTATCTGAACTTATCAACAAATTTTCAAGAATCATAAAGGCACAAATCTTTGTTTTTTAAAATTCGTTTAACATGTAAAACTTGCTATTCCATCTCGTAACACACTGGATTATCTTGAGCTTTGATTAAGTTTTTCTTGTAGATTAGCAAGTTCATCTTGAGCTACATTAGAGTGGAAAATGTGTTGCTATCTTTTTACATTTGTTAATGACTGCAATGATAGATTCTTGTGACTTAGATTGTTCTCTTAACAACAAGTTGAATTTGGTGCGATAAACAATCAATGTTTTTAATATAATAATACTTTTTTTTTAAATGCCACCGTCCCTAACAATACATATATTTTCTTTGGGAATTCCCCATGATGAAACAAGTTAAATTTTGCCCCATCATTAAATGATTTCAAAACAATCATTTTTCTTTCAAAACTTTTGGTAATTCCGTGACAAGTGAAACTTATCAGCGATACCCCAGAGCAAGAATGACCAGATATCAGTTGTAAACATTTTTCAAATGATTTGATTAATTCCAGAATTTTATCTTTTACCTTGCCATATAATTTTTCGCAAATAAACGAAGTAAAATATTGCCGAGATTTTAAATTATACGAACACTTGGTTATTCAATCTCAAAATAACACAAAACAAATGGTAAGTCCTCCAGTGCAATCATTTGGCGTTAAATTATCTAGAAAGACTTGGTGTTGTTGTTATCATTTTTTATTTTTTTCGAAATCACTAAAGATTTTGTTAAGGTGTTTTGGTAAATTGTCGCATATTGGATGCCAAAGAATTTATTTTAGCAGATCTTTTCATTCTCTTTTTTCAATTCGTCATATTCATTTTTGTGTTTAGTTATGATTATAGCACTTGGTCCTGCCTATGCGCGATAAATTTTATCACACAACTTCTTTACATTTATATATATTGTGAAATAAGTCCAAATGTGTAACACGTGCTTTACTCATGTTTTTATACCACTTTGTCATTAATATCAGTTAAATTTGGGATATATTAACACAGTGGCATCAAATCAAAACAATACTTTTCGAATGAACTTTCTGTGACTAACTAGTTCATTCAATCTGTTGAAAAGCTATGTTCAATTTAAACATGGCCGACACGAAATGTCAAACATTTTGCGCGCGCTTTATTTGAAATTTAACATTCGCATCGCATTCGCGAATATTGAAGATGAATATTGGCATTCGATTCGCATTAATGTGAAAAATCCAACATTCGTTACATCACTATTACCTACATTACAATTACTACTTAGACTATTATATTCAGAAAGAGAGTAAAATGTTGTGACTTACAGTTGTCACAAAACTCGGTACCTTTGGTACCGCAAAAACAGTGACACAAAATTTATCTCGTTTAGAACTTACTACAGTGGACGTAGAAGGCGCGAAGTCGGCACTATCCGGCTGAAGGTTTAGCGCCGTAGGGGCGGAACGCTGCGCTTCGGCGGGTGGACGCGCATTGTAAGAAAAGGCGTTATGGCGCGCGCTGTTGGCGCGCAATGCGCACGACTTATGGACTCGCGCGCTGACTGCGTAACAGTTGACGACGACTTCGACGACAGTTTATTTGCTTCACTTAACGCTTCTTCGACATTACGGGCTTTATATATAAGTTCTTCTATCGTAGTTACACTCTCTCTCGTAACTCTTTTCCTTATAGATCTGTTTAGTAACCCATATATAATGTCTAGCTGTACTCGTTCTTCTAATACATAAGGTAACGTAGTGAGAAGGGCGCGCAGGCGGGCCACGAACACTTCTGTGCGATCAGCATCTTGCTCGGACTTAAATATGTCACGGAACACTTTGTGGGTGGCGGCGGCGTACAACATAGCACGCAAGCGACTCATAGCTTCTTCCCACGAAGTTATTGAGGTTCGAATACCTCTAAACCACACGGCAGCATCTCCCTCTAGGAGCATCGCCAAGCCCTTTAGTGCTATAGTGTCAGGTATACTCATACACTTTATAAATTTCGATATTATCGATGAATGCCTCCAAGACCGCAGGGTCGGCATCAGTGTCTCCGCGGAACCGGGCCGTGCATTTGGCGAAGTTACCCAATGTCGGAAGTGATGTGTGTGGTGAAGGTGGTGGCGAAACGAAACCAGCAGCGCTGCCTGACTGTGCTGCTAAGAACGAGTTGACTATTGGACTCCGCTAGAACCTTTGCGAAAGCGGTAAATAGTGACGAAAACTGGTTCTCACAGAAGAAAACGTCTGCCACTTCTTCACTGTCACTAATCTGACTTTTACGACGGGCATTATTACGCGGCATTGTCAACAATATGATTTATAAACAGTTTCACTATAAAACAATACGCATTACGCACTTGGTAACAGTTCACTTTTCAAAACCGCTGTAAGACAAAGACCTTATAGACACGAACATGTACGAAGGCTTATTTGGTTTGAAATTAGAGTTTTCCATCGCTTATTTGAACTATCAACAAAGTATCAAGAATCATCACAATTATAAGTTTAATAGAAAATTTGACACTCTTAATGACAGTGAGTTACTTACTCAAGGAAACGTATCCGAAGAGATTAAAAAGTTCATACTTTCCAAGGCTTACTGAGTCAGAATCATCAAAAGACTACGATTTAAATCAGAATCATATTTATAACGAATAAATCCACATATTCATCTAGATGTGGTGGAGTTGACACATTTCAGGTCTTCGACTTTTATGTGCATGGTTGATGCATGCCTGCCAATTTTCAGGCGTATGAATTGGCCTTCAAATAATTTTTTACGTCTTTTATTTTAAAAGTTTTATTGTTCCTGGCGACGTGCAACTTGAGCCCAAACTAACTGTATTGGGTTGACCTCACAATGATAGGGGGGACGCAAATTGTGACACCGTTTTCAGAATTAACATAGGTTGGTAATTCGATTTTTGTAATTTTACTATTTCTATTAATTGATCTTATCATTGTAGGTTGATATTGAATTTGTTTTTCATCCAACCACTGAATAATATCAGCCTTACGAGTTTCAAGCGGGGATACGCTCGACTTTTCTTGAATCGTCGGCATGTGGTAAAACGGCATTGTGTTCTGGCACTTTATATATCCCTACCTACCTAACCGTCCCAACAATTCCTCAGGATATACACCCGAGGGGAATTATCGGGAGATTGGAGGTACTTTTTTAGGGGATTGGTACAACATTAATAAAACACAAGAGAAAAAAAACCGGCAGTGACACACCACTTTGACATAATGGCGTTACTATCACATATGATACCTTCGACTGCATTAGTTAAAACAAGCTTATTATTCATATTATATTTATTTTCAATTTATATCTAAAAATGACACATTAATCGTACTTTATGTTAATAAAAGCTACGGTGAAATGTGATTATCAAAAAAGCAGTTCCTATTCACATTAAAGCAAAGAAAAATATTACATTCGGAACATTTTACAAACGTCAAGGTTCTACAACCTTTATTTCGACATTTTAATCGTTGTTTTGGGCTCCTTTAGCAGAAATAGGAAGACGTTTTGTTTGTTTCGTCCTTTTTGCAATATGAGGTATTGGTTCAATAACTCTGTGTTTTCTAGTTGAAGTAGGAGGTCTTTCATGTAGTATGGGACTATGACTGTCACGAAGGCTTGAACTGGAACAAAAGCTTTACTGTATTGCGTGTCACGCGTGCAAATTGTAGGTTCAAAATTTGTGGCTGTAATTGCCTAGGACCTGAGTAAATTAATTTTTTTGCCAAATCCAGCTTGAAATTTAAGTATTGGTTTATATCTTTTTTCTGGCATCCAGATTTTGCAGCATCGTTTCGATATTGACCCAACCTGCTGTGCAGCAGTAGAAAAAGTGAAATATTGTTCTAATAGTCCACTTACCAGTTCTTCCTCGAATAGGATATTTGCCAATAATACAAAAGAAAGTCAATGCCTCCCATATACTTGTTATATTTTTTTATAGCTACAGGTTGTGACACTTCGATATAGTTCATATTCTGCTTGCTCCAGCGACGACATGTTCCTAATGGCTGGACAGCCGCATCAGTTGATGCAACATAGATTGGTTTGCTGTCTAACCATTTTACGACAGCAATCTTGTTGTCACCTCTTACAACACAATAGTAACTGCCTCTTTCAGCTTTTTGTAATGCGGCATCTGTCTTGAACAATACCCATTACCTTACTTCTTTGAATTTGGCCGTTGGTACTCTGGCACTCTATTTTTCATTAATATCACAGTTGCCTTGATTCCCTTTTCTATTAAGTTATCAAGAAGTGGAATAGATGTGAAGTATCGGTCAATAAAAATGGAAGAACCAGTAGGCAACGTATCCACTAGTTTTAACACGAAACGCCCGCCAAGATGAAAGTTTTTCAGGTGATGGATACAGTGCTGATTCAATGGTTGTGCCTTTCCCCTGATATAAATATAAATGAAGCGGAATATCATTAGAATTGGCGATTAGAAAAAAAATTATGCCTTCTGGGTTTGGTATGTGTTAAACAATTCCTTTTTATTTTAGCCTTTAAATCCACCCAGTACTAAAAGTAGATAAGTATTTACAATAAGTATAACTAAAAAAATTATACATAGAAAGAAATTGAAATGAATCATACCTTGGACGATTCGGGGCCAGATTTAACACAGCACCCTGGCCTGCAGAATACAATATGGAAGCGACCAACGCTTTTACTGAAATATGAGAAACCGCTAGTCGGTTATCTGCAGAGACTAGGCTCATGACATAGTTAATTTTGAAAATGTTGTGTATTCAGAGCCATAAAAATATGTGTCTATGGTTATGATTAATTACTTGGTCTATGGTCTGTCGGTGTGTCGAGTCGAGTCATGTAACAAAGGGTTGTCGTGTTAAATATAAGTAATATAACCATATATAATAAAAGTCATAAATAATACATCTGCAGTATTATTAAATAATATACACCTAATTGAGCAACGAGCAAACACGAAATTGGCGACGAGGATAAAGAAAAGTAAGTCAAAATATTGTATAGTCAAGATGTCTGAAAAAGAGTCGATATTTACTGGATCGGTTCAACCGTTCGATGAAGATACGTTATCCTGTAGCAGTTGGTTTGATATATTTGAACAATATTGTATTTTAAACAATATTACAAACGATATCACAAAGAAAGCACTTCTGTTAACAAGCATAGGAGCCAGACATTATGGCGTCTTAAATACGGCGTGCCTACCCCAAAAGCCTAAGGATAAATCCTTCGCTCAATTAGAACATATATTAGTGAATAAATATGATGCTGTGGGACTAGAGTCCACAAATAGATTTGTGTTCCATAAAAGTATGCAAAAAGAAGGTGAAACGTGTGACGAATACATCACAAGTTTAATCAAAATGGCGTCAAAATGTAATTTTGGGTCGTATCAGGAGCAAGCTTTGTGTTCACAATTAATAGCAGGTGTAAAAAATGATAATATTAGAAGAAAATTATTGGCAGTAAACCAACCAACATTCAGTCAGCTAAAAGATATAATAATGCAGGAGGAAGTAATACAAAATCAATTAATTCAATTAAAAAACGAGAATACTGTTGAGAAAGCAATCCACACATTTATGAATATGGCAACTTTATTACTCTATGTTTGATGTAGAATAAATCTCTCTGGTTGATGTCGGGTTGGTTTTGTAATAGGAAAAATATGTCTCCTGATAAGTTTTGTAATTTGGAAATTAAATAAATATATAAATATTAATAGTGTGTATAAATATAAAAATAGTGACCTACTAAATTACTTCAAAATCAATAGTTATGGGCACAGACTGCGTAATACTGCGTAAAAGAAGTTAAAAAATTGAAAGTCATTCTGAGAAAGGAAAAATGGCGTCGCGAGAAAATTTTATTAAATATAATATTACTTCGTTCAGTTTCAATGTGTGGTCGTTTAGAATAAAGAGTATATTACGAGAAGCAAATTGTATTGAAGCGATTACTTCAGAAATTTTTTATAAGTCGGAAGCGAACAAAACGCACGAGGCGAGGGCACAAGCGATATTAATTTCGGCAGTAGCTGACAGTCATCTGGAGTATTTACGTAAAGAATCGGCTTACCACATGTATAAAAACTTAGAGGAAAATTTTAAAGAAAAAGGCACAAGGAGCAAATTATTTTTGAGACGACAACTGAGTGAAATGAAATATGATGAATCAAGACCACTTATAGAGTATTTTACAAAAATACAAGAAATTTGTACCAAGTTAGAGGAAGCAGGGACAACAATATCAGAAGAAGAAAAAGTCAATTACATTCTTTTATCTATGCCGAAATCATATACACCAATAGTAACTGCTTTAGAAACAATTGGAGAATTAAAATTGAATACAGTAAAAGACAGATTATTGGCAGAAGAGGAAAAAAGGAAAAAATTTAATGAGCATGAATATAAAGAGGAGACAAATGCATTTCACTGCTTTCAATGTGGAAAAATAGGTCATAAAAAATACCAGTGCCAGCAGACAGTACGAGGACAAGGACGAAGTTATACAAATGCAGGACCAGTACAACAATATAATCGAGGTCAACAATATAATCGAGGTCAACTATATAATCGAGGTCAACAATATAATCGAGGTCAACAATATGGTCGAGGTCAACAGTACAGTCGAGGACAACAATATAGTAAAGGACAACTGTATGGTCGTGGAAGAGATAAAGGATATAGTCAAGGTCCAAGACAGGGTAGTTCAAGCAATAGTTACCAAGATAAACAGTATTCCCCAAATGCATATGTGAGTGTTTGTGAAAATAAAGTGAAAAATAGTGATTATAAAAGTGCTGACATTGAATTTTGTGTCGATTCAGGTTCCAGTGATCATTTGATAAACTGTAAGGACTATTTTATGGACTATATAGAATTAAAGTCACCTAAAAAAATAGCTGCAGCAAAAAATGGAATATGTCTTGAGGCTATAGGAGTAGGAAATATAGAAATTATA